AGGACGTTGCTTCACTGGCCCAAGTTGGCACCATCATTGCGCTGTTCCCGGGTGAGGCAGATCAGTTGCCGGCTTCTGGATGGCCGCTCACGGCAGCTGCTGGCCGCTCATGCTGGCTGCTGGCTACATACGGTAGCCCATGGCAACCCATTGCCACAGGGGCTGCAGCCTATGCCGTCGCCAGCGACTCAAGGCAGCCCAGCTCCAGGTTGAGCTGTTGTTCTGTATCTTAGCTGTGGAGGGCAGTGTCACTGGCCCTCATGTGTGGGATCCGAACCGGGGCCCTCTGGCGTCCCAAGCCAGCTCTTAACAAACGCACCACTCGGCCGGCCCTGTTTTCATTCTTATTACGTATTCAGCTGGATGTCTCAATGTCATGTGTGTAACAGAGATTCAGTTTAATCTTTCCAAGCAGTTGCCAAACACCTACATGGTCCCATTTTATGGGATACAGAAACCTTGTCATATATATGACTCCCCTTAATCCTCACAGCAGTCCTGTGAATCATAGGAACTATAATTTCCATTTCAAATGACAAGGCTCACAAAAGTTAACTAACTTGTTCCATTCGGTTGCTTAACAAATGGAGCCAGAACTGGGGCTCACACTCTCTACTTTCTATTCTGGTGGTCCTAGCAAAAAACGTAGCACAAGTCACTGGGGCAGAAATTGTATGACTAGGAGTCACTGGCTTTCCTCAGCCCAACCCCCAGAAAGGGTCATTCTCTCCTTACATTAACAAGTCTGAAAGTCAATAACAGTTCGCCATTTAGCTCACCCAAGGGGATAATCTCTGACCCTAAGTCTTTGCAAAGAATTCCTTCAAAAAGCCAATTACCACGTTCATAAGAACTATTGTTTATAATATCAATAATCACCTACAAAATCAAGATATTTGCTCATTCAACAAATTGAGTTCTTGCCCCGTGCTCAGATAAATTTTGTTGTAAGCTTTCTGTGGTGGTGATAATATATGTGAATTGCCTAGTATAGTACCTGGTATGCAAATAAATGATAACTATTACTTGAGGGTGGGTGAGGACATAGTGTATCCACAATATATTTATAATCAGATGTATCTGCTTTGGGATCTTAGCTATACACTAGTTGTGTGACCTTGAGCAAAGTGTACGCCTACACGTGCTTCTGTTTCCTCATTTAAAGGTGGTAGAACAGCCTCTACCTTGCAAATTTTCAGCATAGTACAGTAGCTGAAACATAGTAGGTGATGTGTAAATAAATGGTGGGTCGCTGCAACAACACTTGAGTGCCACGCCACTGGTTTTGCTACATTCAGTTTAAGCTGCCACCAGCCTTGCCTAGAAGCTCATGCATGCATGAGTCCTAAGGAGGAATGGTCTTCTTTGAAAAGGTTGGATGGCTGGTGCACTAGAGCAGCAAGGACTTTCTACCTGGCCTTTCTTTGCATGTGTGCTCCTGGGCTGGACAGGAGAGTACTGGTTTTCACTGAAGATTGCTAAGAAATGATGTTGATTGGATTCTCGTGAGAAAACAGAGCCTCAGAGAAACTGCCTCTGCTCCCTAACTGGTGTGTTTCCAAGCCTGAGAATGACCCCTCTCCATTTCTTCAGAACAGCCTAATGCAGTGCTTAATAGGGCCTGAGTGAGTGCGTGCTGAAGGAAACCTGTAGGCTGAAGCTACTATTTCCTCAAGTCATCCCTCAGGAGCCAGGCTCCCTGAGCAGGCTACTTTCAAGGCTGCACATTAGGAACAGAGTTAGGTACTGTAGTCAGATGAGACCTATAGGAACGTTAGCCTAATATGTTGCTGACGTGTACACAGGGAATAGGCTGGAGTGTTCAGCAGTTCTCACTAAGGACCGGTGATTAGTGTTACAGCCAAACTAAGCTTCCCTTCTTTTCTCTTCTCTGTTAGTTCTCTCACATCTCAGGGAGGAAAGAAAGCATTCACTTTGACAGCTTCCCTGGTCCTTGTACAGCTCAATCCTCATGCCCATAGGCGCCCTCGCCCTCACACCCTCAACAGCCAAGGCTTTCCTGGCTTTCCATTGCCTCCCACCCCAGAGGTGCAGTGTTCAAGCTCTCAGGCCCCCTCCCCAAGAGATCTTTGGATGCTCTCTGCTTGGCCCCTGCTCTCTGTCTCCTACTGGGAAGAGCCAGTACCGGGCTTCAGGCAGGAAATACTCTGTGGTCTGAGGTTCTGACGAGTCTGTCAGCACCTCACTACAGTGAATAAAGGAGGCACAAGTCTGGGAGCTAATATTGCAGCCAAGGATGGTGATATAAGGGACTCCAGAGTCCCCCATGTCTGGTAGGCTTAGGACCTAAAAAAAAGGGGGGGGGTAATGGGTGTGTGGGTGGATAAGGACCAACCAAGCAGACCAATGTGTCTGGATAATATAGACTTTAGGCCCGAGCCTAGAACTGAGAAGCTCATGACCTCAAGTTCTTTAGCAGTACAGTGGGAGAAACACTGGGGGGGACAATGAGAACACCTGTATACTAGCACCATAGGGAGTATATGATCTTGGGGACACCAGTCAGCTTCTCTGGCCCTCAGGGTCCTTGTTGGCAAAATAAGCGTAACATTGCGTACCCTCTAGGGTTCTTGTGAAGGTCAAAGGAGGTCATCAACAAAAAAAGTTAGAAGCCTTATCTAAACTCATGGAAGCATCCCTAATGAGGTAAAGCCAGGCAAAATTTCAGATGATTCGGGATTGGCTGGGAAGAAGAGAAATGGGGTGCTGGTAGGGGATGAGCTCCGAGGCAATGCTTTAAGCATCCACTTGTTTACAAACCCCCAGGAGAAAGTAGCTTTACCTGTCCATCCCATGTAGTGTGGAGTAGCATCTGGGAGCCTTCGCTGAGATTAAGGGAGGTCATCTGGAGATCATCGCATTTTATAAAATGAAAAAACTTGGGAGTCCTTAGTCCATTTAGTTAATATTTCTCAAATGCCTACTCCAATATTTGAACTGTGCTATGTATTAGGGAGGAAAGGATGAATAAGGAGTGGTCCCCATCTTCTAGAAGCTCCAAGTCTGGCGAGGGACACAGGTGTGTCCATAGATAAATACTAACACTGTATAATGAGTGCTCTGATCAGGTGGGGCTACACAGGTCCTGTTAGAGGGCAAGAGAAAACTCATGAAGTCTTCTGCTGGGATGAGTTGGAAAAGGCTTCGCAGAGAAAGTAGGCTTTCGGTGATGACTGGGATGCTGAGCGGGTGTTTATCAGCTGGAAAGCCTGGGGAGAGAAGAATGTGTTGCAGGCAAAGACAACTGCCTGTGTGGAGATATAGAAACCTAAGAAAGCATGGTGTGTTCAGCAAAGTAAGCTTTTCAAAATAGCCAGATCCCAGATTATGAGAAGACAAACAGCAAGAAACTAGTCCAAGGAGGCAGGTCATCACAGGCCCTTTTGTGTAAGATGATGGCATTAGGGCAGGAATCGCAGCAGAGTTGTAAACTAGCAGGGCGAGGGGATTGATTTTTGCTGTACAGAAAATAGTGGGGAGAAATGAGGAAAGAGGGTCAGAGAACAGAGGGAGCCTGAGGAGGCAGTGGCTATGAAAGCATCCCACCATGTGCTGACATGTAATAATACCCCATTCCCAGGGTCATTAGGAAGAACAAATAAGGTTACAGCTAGAACAAAGCTTTGTAAAGTGAACAGTGCTGTGCATGCGGGAGAAATGGTTACTACCCTGCAGCTTCAGAAAGGCATGGTGATTAAGAGCTTTGGAGTCAAACCGCTTGGCTCTGGAACTTGGTTTCCCAGTTNGCCACTCGGCCGGCCCTTCTTTGTCTTTTCTTAACACCACTGTTGTAACATTTACCGTTTTGACACTTTCTAGAACTTTTTGTGGGTATTCATTTCTCCTCTACCAGTCTAGGTGAGGGCCTGTGTCCTGTCTGTCACCCAGAAGAACAGGCTTAACAATGAATCTCTGTTGAATGAATGCATGCCTCATGACTATATTAGTGAATGAGTTCATTGAAATTTCAAGGTATGAATACTGAAGGCTGCCTTTAGGGGCCTGGGGAGAAAGCAAGATATGAAATTTTGAGTTTAGTAGGGATTTGGAATGATGAGTCATTCATTCAACCAGTGTTAAACTGAGCACTTGTCCTTAAGGAGTTTAGAGTCTGTGATCAGGGAGAATGCACATCCTTATTTTCTTAGCTCAGGCTGCTTTTCTAACAGGGTAGCTGTGCTGCGTGTTTTTGGCCATGGATAATAAACCCAACCTTCCCTTTCTTCCCAATAGCCCGGAAGCTGAAGAAACTCGGTAACCTGAAACTACAGGAGGAAGGGGAGACTTCCAGTGCCATCAGCCCCACTGAGGAGACAACCCCGAAGCTGACCGTGTCACACATTGAAGGATATGAGTGCCAGCCCATCTTCCTGAACGTCCTGGAAGCCATCGAGCCAGGCGTGGTGTGTGCTGGACATGACAACAACCAGCCCGACTCCTTTGCAGCCTTGCTGTCTAGCCTCAATGAACTGGGAGAAAGACAGCTTGTGCATGTGGTCAAGTGGGCCAAGGCCTTGCCTGGTAAGGAAAAGGAATTGGGGACATGGGGTAAGGGGGATGAGATCTCACGGATGCTCCTATGGGCCAGGCACCATGCCCGGTCCTCTCCTGCCCATTAACTCGTGCAGTCCTCACCATTACCCTAGTGGGTGAGAGAAGGGCACAATCCCCACTTTTAAAATAAGGAAAGTCAGAAGTCAAGGAGTAGAGCCACGCTCCAGAGTGTCCCATCTGCCTCACATGGCACGCAGCAGTCATGTTTTCGTGTTCAATGCCTAGACACGGTGAGGAAACTTCCCCATAATCCCAGATCGCATAGACATGCGCTTATGATGCCTGAAGATGCTCTTCTACACGTGCACACACAGGCTCACCCTAAGGATAGTTTTGAGCCTGACCGATATTCCATCTTCAATATCACCTTTAGGAGCCAGACCATGGGAACCCTTATAACACTGTATGGTAAAAAGAACATGTGGTTGGGAATCAGAACCCTTAGATTCTAGTCTTAGTTTGGCTGGTAATTCATTATGTGATCCCGTCCCTTTCTGGGTCTCAGTTTCTCCATCTGTGTAATGTGTGAAGTGTGGTTTGAACTAAGTTGATGTTTTTCGATTTTTGCGTCAAGGAATTCTTAGTGCTCTTTAAAATACTTTAGGCATCATAGTGGAAGGAAATATTTGGTGATACTAAAAGAAATACAAAGCCTCTAACTTCTACTTGGATACCTCCACTGATGGGGAACTCACTTTCTCCCTAGGCCATCTGTTGTTTGAACAGGTCTGATTATTAAAATATCAGTGTTTAGAGATCCTCTATCCAAGGATTCACAAACTTTCCTTTATCAGTCAAGCTTTTTATTTCTCAAAAACACCACACATGGATACCAATGGAGCTGGCTGGGTTAAAGCCAGTGCCTCTCCCTCACTACCCCCAGCAAAACCTCGAGTCAGTCTTGCAGAATCTTAGGACTCCAGGGAACACAGTTTGGAAACCAGAGAAGCATAAGCTCTTTAAGGGTTCTTCGAATCCTAAAGCTCTATGATTCAATGAGTCTTTTGAAACATCAACCACCAAACCTCTTCTTGTGGACTGAACGATCACCCTGCCTTCTGATAATAACTGCCATTCAGGTGGAAATTTATAGTGAACAGAGCAGTTTCATATGTCTTACCTGATTTGATCCTCATAAAAATTCCATGAAGCAGGGTTTTCCCCCTATTTTTTTTTCTTTCTTTTAAAAATTAGTTTCAGGTGTAGTTCCGTAGCCCTGGCTCTACAGTGAGAGGCCACTTGGATCACAGTGTGGAGTACGTGCCTTCGGTGACACTGCATGTTGCTCATCCTGCCCCGGTTTTGTCTTTCCAATGCATGAGGCCCAGGCACAGCTGCCAGACCATCCTTAACACCTTTCCGGCTTGGGAAGCTGAGGTTGACTAGCCAGTAAGAGTACTGGGAAGAAAGCCCAAGGACTCCGACTGCATATGCGCTGTGGCAAAATAGAGGGTTCACACAGGGAGGGAAAAAACACAGACAAGGAAAAAAGAGAAAGTTGTTTTCATTCTTTTTTTTAAATCCTGCCTTTTTTTTTAAGATTTTTATTGGGGAATTTGGGGGATGGGAACAATGCTGGGGAATTGGGGGAAGGGGAACAGACAAGTTGCTGTCCTTTTGTTCTTCAGTCTAGTTGTGGAGGACGTTGCTTCACTGGCCCAAGTTGGCACCAT